CCCTTTTTTTGTTTAGTTCTGTCATTTGAATATGATAGGTGAGTTAACTCAGCAAAATATTCTAAAAGAGTCCAATAGTCCATAATAGTATTGGGTCTTCCGCTTCACTGGCAATGTTAGAAATTTTTGACCTGAGTCCCCTACAGCTCAACATAACACCATGGCTTTATGGCTTTATTTTTTTTCAAACCAAATTGGTAGGACAATTTCAACAATTAACACATTGCATACATTCTTCTTAGTAGTTAATTGCTGTACAAGATGCGGACATGATATCCTATTTACAAACACTATTAGAACAAAACTCTATTCATTAAGAGAATGTAGCTATATATCTATTCTAACCATTTTGAATACACAGATACAAAATGGACATTCATCTGTATCCCCTTTTATTGATTAGTTCTGCTGTTTGAATATTATAGGTGTGTTAATTCAGCAAAATATTGTAAAAGAATCCAGTAGCCCATAATAGTATTGGGTCTTCTGCTTCACTGGCAATGTCAGAAATTGTTGACCTGAGTCCCCTACAGCTCAACATAACAGCATGACTTTACTTGTTATACTTCGTTTTTATACTTTTCTGCTGGTTGGTTAAGACCAAGGTAAAGCAGGACCTATGCAACAAGAGTTGTAGCTTTTGGTCTGAGAAGGTCAGTGAAATGCCCTCAGGATTTATCCTGAGATCCTGTACCTCGGATTGTAGAACCTTTGTCAGTATCGGCCACGTGGATGAGTCACGGCCATTGCTTGGCCAATGTGCTCTCTGTGAAAGCCTCAGAGTCAAATAATAAAATTAAAATAAATTTGTGTGGTATTTTCAGAAATACTGATAAATGCTAGAGATCTTGCATTGCTGATGTGAGGTTCTGTTTTTGACAGTTGACTGTTGGGATGGTCCAGATGGAGAGCCAGTAGTACACCACGGCTATACTCTCACTTCAAAAATTCTCTTCAGAGATGTTGTGGAGACCATCAACAAGCATGCCTTTGTGAAGAATGAGTAAGTACGTGTGGACACTGTTGAGATACGATGGCTGCAGAACAACACACTTGTCCGTGGACTTAAATCTCTGCTTCTGCTCTCTACACTGCCCTCTTGAAGATGTCCTTGCAAAGTGTGATCTCTAAATTTCTAAACTGAGGCTATAGAATGCCCATAAATTCAGGAAACATGGGCTTCTATACATAAGAAGTAGCATTTTGCTATGTATTATAATATAGTAAAGTAGTCCCTGGGTTTTACCTGGGTGTCTGATGTGTACTGGTGTACACACTAATATCCTTGTGTTACTTGGCCCCTCCGTAGCATTTGATAATGTTAACTATCTCCCCTGCAAAGCTTACGTTTTTAACTCCTATCGAAACATCCTGTCCTCCATCACAGTCATTGCTTCTCTCGTTTTATGCTTGTACTGCCTTTTCATTTCCTCACTCTCAAAAGAATTACTGTTTCCTAAAGTGCTGCCCTGGCTTACTTTGGGGATATTTTTCTAATTACATTCCTCCACCTTACCCCTAACTTCCAAATTGATATGGGATAGAACAACCCTTAACAATTATTGAGCTGAGTTCCCAGCTGTGTGTCAAAAGCATTGCATTCTGTGAGACCTCTTTTCACTCATTCTGCCTTATAACTTTAGGGCAGAGACTGGGAGTCACTATAGATTCAGCCAGTTGCTCTCAATTCTATTTAATAAGTTATCTTTGGCAACAGTTCCTTCTAGTTGTCTTCATTTTCCTTTTGGTCCAGCCTTCACAGGGGGCAACAGTTTTCTTTCTTTAAAAAAAAAAAAAAATATATATATATATATATATATATATATGCATATATGGTTGCTGCTCTAATTCTGCAGTCCTTCAGAAGCTCCCTGTAGCACAAGAGCGTGTCTTCCTGCTCTGCAGGACCTGCCTGTGTCCTTCTCTCCTGTTGTCTCCTTTGCCATTGCTGCGTGGTCTTGGCATCCTGAGATGCTAAGACTTCAGCAGACAGTGATCAGCTTCCTTGGTGAGCCTGAATCTTTTCCAACCCCCACCCTTACATAAACTGTTATATCAGCCCCCCATTTTTCAGTCCACTTTCTTGATTGTCCTACAAGATTATTTATGCCTTGTCCCTGTAGCAAGTATACTGACCTGATTCAAGTGTTCTTCTCTTTTTTAGCACCCAGAACATATTTCTCTAGTATCTTATGCACCTTGTTAAAATGTGGTTACTTACTTTCTTCTAAATCTGTAAGACTGTGAACTTATTGAAAATATGGAGCTACATTTTAGGCATTTCTTATTCATTCCTTGTTGCTTGGAAGCTACCTGAAATATACCAGATACACAAGAGAGGATTTTTGAGTTAAAGTAAATTAAAATTACAATTGCGTAAAATTAAAATTTTTGAAATTATTGGTCTTTAAAATTTTTAATACTTGACCTTATTAATTAACCATGAAATTAAAATGCTATCTGAATAAGATATGCTGGCTACAAGGCAGATTTAGTTTGTAAAAAATGCTGTCTTCTACACAGAAGACTCTTGAGTACTAAGTTCTTTTTTTTTTTCTTCTTTCTTTTGTCAGAAATGGGGATTGAACTCAGGCCCTTATGCTTGACAGGGAAGTGCTTATTCCATTGAGTCATCTGCCCGGCCACTTGAGTACTAAGTTCTGATCAGTCTTCACAACCCCGATTTGTATGTTTCAGCCAAATTGAAGGTCTTTACTTACATACATATATATATATATATATATATATATATATATTATCATATTGAGAAGGCCTGAAACCTGTACACTTGATTTTTTTTTTTTCTTCAGAACTGGGAATTGAACTCATGCCCTTGTGTTTGCCAGGGAAGCACTTAGCACTTATTCCACTGAGCCATCTCCCTGGCCTCAGATTGTTTACTTCAAGTTTGGAAAAACTGTAGAAGAAATATGTTAAATTCAAATGATATACTTCTTTAGTACTTCAAAAAAGTTTGGCTTTTCGTTTCTTTTTTAAGTTTTAGGTGTGTTTCCTCCCCCAGGGATTCTTAACCCTGGCATTTTGGACTCTCTTTGTTTTTATTGTAGAAGGCTGTCTTGTACATTATAGAGTGGCTAGCAGCAACTCCACTTAGTCAAATCCAGTTGAACTCTCTGAATTGTGGCCACCAAAAATGTCCTTAGACAATGATAAATGTCCCTTGGAGGAGGGTGTACAAGGTCACACCCTCCCCATCATGCTGAGAAGCACAACTGTACACTAAACGTCAGTAGATGATAATGAGATTTTTGCAAAAGGATTGATAATTTGGCAGTTTGCTATTAAAATTCCTGATGTGATTGCAAAATGACTCAGGATTGCTAGTTTGTTGTTTTTGTTCTTAGCACTCCAAGGTAAAAATTGTGTGAGGATACAAATAACAAATAGATGATAGTCAGCTAACCAAACTAGTTTCATCACAAAGGTCCCTCTCTCATCCCAGCTCCATGATCAGGTTTTGCTACAGGTGACAGATGGTCATTCAGAGAATTAGTTGATGGACTGTAGTATGGACCTGCACTTAGCATAGAGGCCTAGAAAAAATTTTTCTCCTCGTAGGTATATTTAGGCAATTTAAATATAGTTTGTATATTCTGCAAAGCATATTGCCTAATATTTCTGAAGATATATGATGTAAAACTAGAAAACAAAAATCTATAAATCTGTCTTATAATAATTCTTCTGAAGAAAACACAAAGTTGAGAGTAATGTATCATCAGGTCTCGTTCTCTTTCCAACTTGTCCACTAATACTTCAAACTGTCTTTGGATTATTCTTTTTAAAATTTTTTTATTTTTTATTTTAGGGCAGCATCTACAGGATGTTCAGGGTCTTACTACTAGATTGGACTTGTAGTGATCTGTCTGTTTACAGCCCCCCAAGAGCTGGGATTACAGGTGTGCACTACCATGCCCAGGCTCAATTGCCATCTCAGCCTGTGCTCCAGGGGCGGGGCTGGCACGGCAGGTGGCTTCTCACTTTATGTGGGACCCACATTCTCTGTACAGAAACTTGTGAACCAGTATAGAATAAGTGTTTGGCAATTGTTGTTTTAGTAGAGACTAGTACATAACACTCTGCAAGTGATCTTGATTCCTGTCCCAAGCTGCTATGTAATGTCAAGTTCCAATATGTTATTGTATCCACATTAGTAATTTTCAAGCTGGGGATGAAATACACACACACACACACACACACACACACACACACACACACATATGTTTATTTGGTTTTGTTTTCTTTGGTGGAACCAGAGATTGAACTCAGGCCCTTGCACTTGCCAGGGAAGTGCTATTCTACTTAGCCATCTCCCCGGCTATATATATATATATATATATATATATATATATATATATATTTGAAGTAAATAACTGCCTTTAATGGTATACAGTGGTTGCTTAGCTGTGTCTAGATTTTTGCAAAACTAAGATTCCAGTACGTGAGTTTGCTTTCCTTAGTCTTCTCATTTCTTTAGATATTTTCTTTTAGAAGATACATTATAATCACCATTTATTTTTTCTGTATTTAGAGCAGGGTCTATGGGGTGTTCAGGGTCTCACTACATATATTGGACTCATAAGGATCCTCCTGTTTTCAGCCTCCCAAGTGCTGGGATTACAGGCATGCCCCACTAAGCCCAGTCTCAATCGCCATCTCAGCACGCCTCAGGGACGGGGCTGGCACAGCACTCAGGGTGTTAGGGGTACAACCCTAGCCACTTTAGTCCACTGAGCTATCAGGCTGGCCCTTTATAGTCAATATTTTTTACCTGATACAAAATATTAAACCAACTCATGCACAAGGATTGGTATTTTGTTTAACTAAGTATATTTTCTCAGAGGAATTTTCAATGAATAATCTTTCATACTTTCAGCCATCATCACTATTGATGGTCCCTAAGAACACAATGACCACAGAGTCATTTTCAAGGGTCCTTGTGAGTTGCCTGTATCTGATGCCAATGGAATGTGTCACTGTTTCCTCAGGTTCCCAGTTATATTGTCTATTGAGAATCACTGCAGTATCCAGCAGCAAAGGAAGATTGCTCAGTACTTGAAAGGAATATTCCGAGACAAACTGGACTTGTCATCTGTAGATGCAGGGGACTGCAAGCAGCTTCCAAGCCCTCAAAGTTTGAAAGGCAAGATCTTAGTTAAGGTAATTACTTCAAGGGACTAAAGCAAAGGGATTAATGAACAACTCAACCTTCTTTCCTTTACTAACTGTGGACTAGCCTAAGGATTTTCTGCAACTATTTCAGCTTTGTAGTCACCTCTTCAGAGGAACGTTATTGTTGACTGACCACATGTCCTGGGATTTGATTTTATGAAGTCGAATGTAAATACAGTAAGCTAAATGTGTAATATCTTGGGCTGTACGAGTTTACTCTAGAGAGAAATGTGTGTATAGGAGAGTGAGGTGAGGAGAGAAGACTCCTTGAATTTATATGTGAAAGCATTCTGGTCAGATTCTCTTTTCCTGTTTCAAGCTTCAATAACCGTCAAAAGAAAAAAAAGTTTTCATGGTTGACTGGTCTTGCGTATGTAAGTGAGAAGCGCTTGTTTCAAAGAGAAACAAGGCCAGAGACATGAAGTCCTGCAGGACCAGCATGTGTGCAAAAGGAGTGGTGGGTGACAAGAAGGACATTTCATAAATAGTTATTTTGAGGGGAGGAAACCTACTACAATGAATATTATCAGTAAAAAGGATGGTTGGACTGTTCCTTGTATTTTTCAATTTATTGACTTTGTCATTTTACTTTCAGTGAATTTTGTATTTGTACAAAAATCACATTAGATAGTTGCATTGGTTTGAGATTGCAAATCTAATGGAGAACACTCTGGGCTGTGTATATTAAAACTGGGTTATTTTTACTTAGAAGGGGTATATACAAAATATTAAATGCATATAAGAGAGTCTAGGAGATTGATTTCATGGCAAGACATTAACTGAGGCTTGAAGAAAGGGCAGCACATAGGAAAGATCAAAATATTCATTTTTATAATTGCTCAAAACATTTCTCTATCAGTTAAGTAAAAATTATAGATTCAAAAACCTATTAAAGAAATGTTAGCGGGTATTTCCATGTGTAAAACCACTTTGATTGGAAGCTCCATATCATGTAAGAAGTAACATTGAGACCAATTTGCCTGAGTCTTGCAAAAACCAACTCCTGTGTTAAAAATTGATTTTATGATTAGGAGACAAAACCTCACATTTGTAGTTGTGTAAATATTTCTGTGTTTCCTAACTGGATTTTTTAGCAAACATTTGGGAGATCCAACACACAATAAGGGCATTTGATCAAAACCTTTCCTTTTGGAGAGAGGAACTTAGATGGTTATGTTTTGTGTACTCATGAGTGTTCTGCACAACTGTACTTCAGAAGACTTGGCACAGAAGATTCCAAGGTGGAGGGGCATGAGGAGGGTCCGAGGCAGAAGATCTGAGGCACCTAACAAGAGGGATGGCAGCCTTGTGTGGGCCGGCATTCCAAGGGAACCCAAGATCTGCTTGTTGGTAGTGATGTTCTATGAGGACGTTGTCTGGACCTGTGGACCAGCAGGCTCTCGTGCAGAACAAAACCAAAGGAGCTGCTTTTCCCAGGTTCCTTTAGCTTCAGAAGGATTTCTGATTCAAAAGGCAGCATTTCAACAGCTACTTGCCACTTGGGAGATTAACAAGTTGTTTTTTATTATAACACACACACTTTCCAACACATAACATTTAAATACACATATAAATACATTTATACATATAAATACATTTAAATACAATATAAATATGTTTAAACACACATGATTTCTTGAAAATTGAAAAACTGCTTTTGAACAGAAAATATAAACATAGACAATGGAATACCCATCTCTGAAAAAATTAAACAAACAAAAAAAAAAAGGGATACAAATGAAGGACCATTTTGTTTTTTTTTTTGTTTTGTTTTGTTTTTTGTTTTTTAAATTTTTTATTTATTTGTGTGTGTGTGTGTGTGTGTGTGTGTGTGTGTGGCCAGCTCAGCCCACCAGGGGGCGGGGCTGGCTGGCATGTGGTGCTGGGGGATTGAACCGCGGTCCCTTTGTTTTTGCTAAGCTTGTTCTAAGTAGGTGCTTTAGACCACTGAGCCATCTCACCAGCCCCTGAAGGACCATTTTGTATCTGTATATTCAAAATAGTTATGATAGATAAAAAGCTACGTTCTCTTAATTCAATGATTAGGAAGATTTGTTCTAATGGTGTTTGTGGATAGCATGTCATGTCTGCATCTCGTACAATGAATAACCACTAAGACAACAATATGCAATGTATTAAGTATTGAAACTGTCCTACTAATCAGTTTTGAAACTGTCTCATTGCTATCTGTTTCTCAATAAATTTTTTTTTTTTTAAAAAAGAAAGATAATATAAGCATAGACTGTTATTACTGGGAATTACTCTAGCTCTGTGGTCCGAGGTCCCTACTTCTGTACATGTTAATCACAGAGTTTTATATCCTCCTCAGGCTATCCAGCATGAAGGGCTGAAGCAAAAGGTGGCCATTACTCCAGTCTCTGGCAGTATGTTTTATTCAGTGGATGAATTAAACCAATAGTAGAGTATAACACTTGCATAAAACAATGCCAGTTTAGAATGAAACCCCTGGAAGACCTGGGTCATATGTCATTTACATCTACTCTGGACCACAGTTAAGTTCACCAAGTCATACAAGAGTCTACTTACATTTATTCATTAACTTTCATTTTTTAAAAAAAAATTTAAGGAGAGTACAAATTAGAATTAAAACAAAAAATTACGAGTGATATAGAATTTCACTTAACAAAGTAAAATGAATTTCACAGTATTTGTTGTAATATATAGTATTGTCTTCCAACCAGTTACTCATATTACCAGATATATGCATGTAAAATTGGAAAAAGAAAGAAATGTATAAGAAATTAAGAAGAGGAAAGTACAAACAGTTGAAGAAAGAAGACACAACAAATTAAAGCATAGTTAACAATACAGGAAAGAAGTAAAATGCATTAGACTTCAGTTTTTTCTGGGAGTAACACCCTTAATGAGAGGCACTGAAAACATTGTCCTTTTGCATCATTTTTTTCCTTAATCTGCTGTGGCAAAGTACCTTTTGGGAAACAGAAATATAGAACAGCAGGCCAAAATATAAGGCTTTTATGATGCAGGCTTTTTTAGGTAGCTTAAAAGGACTGGAAAGGGTAGATTGTGAATGCTCTGAGGAGGCAGCGTTTTCTTTTTATTGCCTCACCTTTGCCACCTTTGAACAAAAGGGCACTGAAGCTCCGTGCTGCTGCCCAGTCTGCCCGACACCGCCTGCTGCCCCATGGCCACATTTTTTCTTCTTGCTGTATCATTTGAAGATGACTTTTTTCTCTTACTTGGTGATGTTCTTTCTCATATTTGTTAGTTTTAGTCCATAGAACATGTTAAAAATTGTTTTTAAAAGAAATAAAAGAGTTATCTCCAAAAAGGAAGCTACTGTTACTGCATTTTAAATGTCTGTGTGCAGGCCCAGCCTGGCCTCTGCCACAGTGTTTGAGACACAGATGATTTTGAGTAAAAGATTGGTGGTAAATAAATCAAGATGTTAATGTCTTGTCTATAGTATTCGGAGTTCATTTGGCCCCCATGGAACTGACTACTTTATTTCTGGTGCTATCATATGATTATAGTTATTCTGAATGCTCTCTAAAATAAAGAAAAAGACTCATAGGAACCTTCTGTGTCATTAGTACCTAAAATAATAAAGTTGAACTAAATGCCTTATTTCTGAGCTACTCCATTACCAGTCATGCTCAAATTAGAGCCCGCCTTTTAACTTGTAAATTCCCTCTCTAAATTGAAGAAAATAATAAAGTCTACATATCCCAATAATTTTAATGCTTAATATAGATCTTATTTGTGTCACTTTTTTTTAAAGCATTTTCTTTTTTCCCCATAATTTATTGAGAAATAAATAGCAATGAGATAGTTTCAAATCAAATTGGTAGGACAGTTCCAGTAATTAACACATTGCATACTGCCTTCCTAGTGGTTATTTGTTGTACAAGATGCAGACATGATATCCTGTTTACAAACACAATTAGAACAAATCCCTTTATTCCTTGAATTAAGAAATGTAGCTATATATCTATCCTAACCATTTTGAATACACAGATATAGAATGGTCATTCCTCTATATCCCCTTTTCTTGTTTAGTTCCATCATTTAAATATTATAGGTGTGTGCACTGCGCAAAATATTCCAAAATAGTCCAGTAGTCCATAATAGTACTGGGTCTTCCACTTGACTGGCAATGTCAGAAATTGTTGACCTGAGTCCCCTACAGCTCAACATAACAACATGGCTTTATTTCTTGTACTTCGTTTTTATACTAAAGCATTTTCTTTAGTACATGTTTGCAGTACCCAATGTGTGCACTGCTTGTGAGGAGTTGGTCCATGTACATAACTCATCCTAATTCCTTTTCTCATCCCCTTTTCTCCCTTGCCACCCCCTCTCCCTCCATCTCTTGAGTCCTTTTTCCTTTGAGAATGATCTCTCTCTCTACTTCCTCCTATTTATCTTTTTTTTTCTCTTTATTTAGATGTTGGGCTTCTCATATAGGAGAAACCATGTGATTCTTTTTTATTACATAAATTATTTAATCAGCTTTGAAACGATCACTGTGCTAAAGACCCACAGTCAAGAGCTTATGACTGAGGAAGGTTCAGCACAACTGGGATGGAGATTTTTCTGAGGGCCTGAATAAACTGATAGTCATGTGCAGGGAGGAAGAGCAGAACCAGATACTGAAGAGGACTAACAGTGGTATGGAGGGCAGGTATGCTAGAAGTCACCAGAGCTTGAGTTTTGAGCTCAGCCTGGATAGTAGATGGGAATGATATTTAGAAATATATCATTATGCTTGTCTGTCAAGCTTGTGAATGACCTTGTATGTTTAAGGAATCCCTCATCCCAGATGTTTTAAGGAATCCCTTTGTGAATGTTCACAGTGCTAGACATTTGTTCTTGCACCTTTCAGGAAGCAGAGTATGGACACTGCCCCTAGATACTAGCAAATAGGTTGGCTTACTCCAGACATCTAAGCGGAAGGGGCCCATAGTAAACCCATCCCAGTAAGGGTTAGTGGAAATGGCCATAGAACATAGGGATAGTTCCTTGATGTTCATGGTGTAGAGGATTGAAATGGAAACATGAGCCTTGGGAAGAGTTGTTTTGAAACCGTCTCTTCACCTGATTAGTTTTGTACCATGGTTTGGGTTCATAATTATATTAGAAATCTATGCCCATTTCCAATTCCCACAGGTCCTATAGGCCAGGAAGAGTTGTGAAGCTTGGCTGGACCCTCCACTGAATAGCTTGGGCATCAGTCAGGGCCACAGTTATCTCAACACTCAGTTGGAGCGGGTGTTGCTTCTGAGAGCACGCAGTGGTGGCCGTTGGTGACAGAGGCCTCTCTCAGGTCCTTAATGCATGAGGTTCTACAGAGCACAGCTCACTAGAGGGAGTGAGAAGAGATTATGAATCCCACTGCTTCTTGTGTACTCTGCTAAATTCGATTAGCCTATGTCCAGGTGATGGGATTAGAGAAGGTGTGAATTCCAGGTGGTGGAAGACATGGGCTACTGTCATGGTGGTTCCCTGCCTCAGCAACCATGCTACTTAGCCTCCAATCCTGGCTCTGCTTACACTTATCCTCAAAGAGATCCTTGGAGCAACTCATATTTATATTTCTTTCTGCTTGGAAGGAAGAAACCTATTGGTGCAGATAGCTCCTCTTGAGGGCCTTATTAGGGTACAGGGCCTTGTTCTCTGCTGTTCTTTTTTATTTACTTTTTCTGAAGATAAATCAGGAAATACAGAAATGAGAATCACTTATAGTATTCCTACTCAGAAATAATTACTCCTGATAGTTGATTATGCTTCTTTCCAAACTCTTCCTGTGTGCTTATAAACATCACCAAGATCATATTTTGTATATACGCTTGGTCCTTATATTGGAAGATTCAGCCAAGCACAGATTGACCATAATTTTTTAAAACTATGTCTATATGGGGCATGTACAGACATTTTCCTTTGTTATCTTCCAAACAATACAGTATTACAACTATCTATAAAGCATTTACATCCTATTAAATCTTCTAAATAATCAGAGATGATTTAGGGTAAATAGGAGGAGTGTTTGGGGTGGTCCACAAGTACCACACCGCTTTATACAGTGATGTAGTGGACACTTCAGAGCATGGGTAGTCCTGGAGCCTATCTTCCAGGGACACTGAGAGATGAACCTGCTGCAGTCTGCCCGCCTCAGCCTGCAGAGGGCCCCCTGCCAGCTCACTTCTCGCCTTTTAAAATCAGGGTGAAAATACAGAGAGCAGGATATCTACCGACCATCTTAACGGTTCTTATGCATATCGTTCATTAGTGTTAACAATACTCACATTGCTGTACAAACCAATTTCTAGAACTCTTCTAATTTTGTAAATTAAAATTTATAGCTATCAGCAACAAATGCCAATTTCTGTTTCCTCCTATCACGGCCACCACCACTATATTCTCTCTCTATGAATCTAGCTATGCTGGGTACTTTATATAATCAGAATCATATATTTCTTTGACTTACTTCATTTATAATGTCTTTAAGATTCATCTATGTCATAATATGCATCAGAATTTCATTCATTTGAAGGCTTATAATATTCCATTGTATGTGTAAATCACATTTTATTTTTTCAGAGAAGGTCTTGTTTTGTAGTTCAGATTCTCCTTGAACTAACTGTGTAGCCTAGGCTGGATTTGAACTCACAACAGTCATCTTGCCTCAGCCTCTAAGTCTGGGATAACAAGCATGCACCACCATGGCCAACAAGACCATATTTTGTGTATTCATTTATCTGTCAATAGACGTAATGGACATTTGAGTTGCTTCCACATAGTGATTATTGTGAATTTTTACTTCAAAATGGGACTGTTTTGATCCACTTTCAGGGCAAGAAGTTGCCTTATCACCTGGGGGATGATGCAGAGGAAGGGGAAGTTTCTGATGAAGACAGTGCAGATGAAATTGAAGATGAGTGCAAGTTCAAGCTACACTGTGTAAGTTACAGGCTTGGCCATATGTTTTATCTTAAGTGTAATGCAGTAAAATCAGGGATCCAATTTGTGCTGTAGTGAAGGCTTACAAATCTTGCTGCTATGTAAAGAGGATATTTTTAAAATTATTGTATGTGCTGGCACGCAGCCACTCAGTTTGACGAGTGTTGGTTATGAGTTTTTATCCCTTAGAATAGGGAGGAATGCTAGTGATTAACTCATCTGACTTCCTCTTCAGAGACAAATCCTCTCCTATTACAACATGGTTAAAAATCAGATTGTGGCCGGAAATGTCAGTGTCTTTGATAAAGTGACCTGGCTTAGGAATGCTTCCTGGCCTGCGCCTCTTGGCTAAATGTTTGATTTGCCCTATTCTAAATAAAGGGGCACAGAGACGGTTACTTACTCATCTGGGGGTGCAGACCCCTTTCATAGATCATAGAGCTGCCATTGCAGAAAAGCACCATTTAAGATGTGACCCCAGCAGTGCACATGTGGCATGGACACAAGGTTTGAAGGAATGCGGGTCCCTCTCATACTCTCTAGCTCATGTGATTGCCAGCGTCACAGGCCAGCCAGAGACTGTGGTGGGCTTTGTTACAGAGTCTAGCACTTCACTGTGGTATGACATGCCATTCCTTTGAACATCAGGACTCTTCTGTCTTCTGAAAGAACCAATAAATTTTGTATGAATTCTCCTAATTTACATTAATGCCCATATTCAATGAATATTAGTTAACAGCAATGTACTGTCCTCTAAATTATTCTGTGATGCCTTTCTCATATGCAGATTTCTTGTTCTTTTTGGCACCAGAGTTTGAACTCAGGACTTTGCACTTGCCAGGCAGGCACTTATGCTGCTGAGCCAATTCAATTCCCTGGCCTGCCTTGCTTATGTGTATCAAAGGACGCTGGCATTTTCCAAGGGGACAAGAGCTTAATTACAGTCAGTCTCAGTAGACATTTCTTTCCCAGTTTTTATGTGTTTTCACAAGATGAAATAGGGAAGATTCAGCTTGAAATGAAAAGTTAAAATTGTTATCTGTATTAAGCTTTTGCCTTTTAATAATTTATATTGGCTCAATTAAATACCCCTAACTAACACTATGACTGTTACATAAAAGTCTAAACAGATTTGCATAACTGGAAATACAGTTAATATTTTAGTGTTTTTACTTATTCTCCAGGATACTTGCCATTTTTGTGATAAATTACTTGAAATTATGGATAATTTAACTTTTTTAGCCTTATTTCATAAACCAGCTTCTCCTTATTTTGCATTTTATTTCCCAGACTTCTGTCCAGACTCAGAGTAGTCTGTCAGTTGGAGGTAGGAAACGGGCTCTGCCAAGGTGCATACTTATGGAATGCCACTTTAGTCACAATGGAGTTGGAGAAATTTAGTTGCTAACACTATTTATTGCTCAGCATGTAAACCAAGTTGCTTTGTTTACAAAACAACTCAGTTACATCATTTTTCTTCTAAGCCTACCTACTCAGTTGTATTATATAAACTTACTCAGTTGTATCATTTTTCCTCTAATGTCAAAGACCGTTTTAACTTTTTAAGGTAAATATTTATCATTATGGAATTCCATTAAAAGTTAATAGCTTTTTGGGAATGAATCAGTAATTCCACCAGCGAAATGTCTAGCTGAGTTCTTTGCATGTTTAGTCTTTTGATTGACTTCTAGGCACTCATGTAGGTAATTATAAAGATAGACATTACCTTTCATTTTGGATTCTTTCATTTGGCCTACGTGAAAGTGGGGGGCATCTGACATGCAAGGGTTTTAGATGTTTCTTTGTACTTTGGGAGAGAAAAATACACAAAGACTACATTGCAGTGAAAATATACAAATGTTTTATTCTACTTTTCAAACTGTTTTCTCTGTCTACGGCCATACCACTCTGAACATGCCTGATCTCGTCAAACTGTTTTCTCTTTTGAGAAAAATCAGTGACTTATTTAAAAAGCCAAAATGTTTTCTGGCAGTCAGTTTGTATTCCATTGTCAGCATAAGACTTCAAATGTCTTACCTGGGTGATGAAGTCAAACACACAGATCATACTTCTGCAAAGAAAGTGTATTATTTGTTCAGCTATGTGGACCAATAATTACCCTACAGGAAGCTCTTCCCTCAGCTTTAAGTTAACTGGGTTGGTTAGATTTATGTTATATAAGAACTGTTGCAATGAACAGAGATTTTAACAACATTCATGGATACTGGAACACCAACTCCTATAAGGTTATATAAGAGTCTTTGTACATTCAACAAATATTTCCTGTAGCAGATATGCCTATAAGTGTTGTAGGTGTTGGAGGATATATCAGCATAAACAAAAGCCTTGCCTTCATTAAATTTATATGTAATACATAAATAGCAGTTGATGGGAGAAGAGGTTAGATAAGAAAGAGGGTAAATATAAGTAAAAGATTTATTTTTTATACTAATTTTATTGAGGAAGAAGTAGCAATGAGACAGTTTCAAAACAGGCTAGTAGGACAGTTACAATAATTAATACATTGTATATTGTAACAGCTATTCATAGTACAAGATACAGACATGATATCTTGTCTAAATGCTATTAGTTCAAAACTTCCTTCTCATTGAGCTAAGAGAAAGTAGCTGTATATCTATGCTAACTATTTTGCATATAAAGATATATATATATTTTTTTCACTACAAAATGGTCCTTCATTTTTATCCCCCTTTTTTGTTTACTTTTGTCAGAGATGTGTATTCCATTGCCATTCATATACTGTAGGTGCGTGAATTCAGCAGTATAAGTAAAATTATCCACAATTTCAGTATTATAAGTAGAATAGTATATTAGATAGTGGTAAGTATTAAGGGAGAAAGGATCTATGTGTGCATGTGTCTGTGTGCACACGTACACGTGCTTCTGCACAAGTGTGTATGAAGAGTCTACTGAAGCTTTAGATGGCCTGTGTAGGAAAGACCTCACAAGAAAACACACGTAAGCAGAGATATGAAAGCGTGAAGAGTCAGCTATGCCAATTCCTGGGGTAGAATGGGACAATAAAAGGAGTTCGAAGGCAAGGTCAGAAGCAAGCTTTAAGGCTCACCTAGTCTTGCCCTTGTATTAGAGGCAAAGCAAGGGGCAGGATTCCTCCTCATTTACTGTTATTCCTAAGTAAGCTATTTTAAGTATTTGCTTGTGCACAAAATGCCTGTTGTTGAGGGCTTTTTTTTTTTATATTTAGTGCTAAGTCTACAGGGTCTCACAGCACAGATCAGACTTGCAGTGATCCTCCTGTTTTCAGTTTCCCACACGCTGGGATTACAGGTGTGTGCCACCATGCCCAGTCTCAATCACCGGCTCAGCATGCCCCAGGGGTGAGACCAGCATGCCAGGCTGGGGATCGAACCTCTGACCCCTCTTTTGTTGAGTTAATTGAAATGTTCAAGCTTTTTGCTCATATTATTTTATACTTTCAGCTATAGAGAAAATCTAGCCTATGATAAATAAGTCACAAGGTGAAATTAGAGTGTTCAGTGACCCAAGAGTCATACAACTCAAAGACAGAAGGGATAATTTCATTTTACCTGCAGCACAGTAGCCTAACAGATATGGTTCAGGGCAGTCAGCTCACCATTATTCATCTCCATATGTTTTCAGTCTCTCCAGCATTGGGATTACAGGAGTGCACCACCAGGCCCAGACTCGGTGACTGGCTGAGTGTACCTAGAGGTGGGGCTGGCGTGCATGTGGTGCTGGGGGGTGGAACCCCAGTCCGTGTGGTTGCCTAAGCAGGTGCTTAGTCCACTGAACTATATTGCTGGCCATCGTCATATGATCCTCTAATGTCAGTGTGCCTGATGGAGTCTCCTCCCCCATATTTCAACTTCACTGATTTTTCTTCCCTTCTACTAAATTTGATGTCTTTTTTCTTGTACTCTGAATCTGTATTTAGCCAACCTCGCAGGCTCAAGCTTCAGGCCTGTGTCTCCTGCGTGAAGCTCATGCCATGAAAATGAAGCTTTCCAATGAGTTCTAAATGAGTCCTAGTATAGAAACATGCAACACCTTTTGGTCTTACACTTATCCTGTGGTTTAAAACCAGGGTTCAGCCTGACTAAGCATTTTTATCATTTTCCTCCCTACCTTAGCCAAAGGTTCACTTTCTTTCCAAAGTTAATCATTTGATACTTTGATCCATTTAAAGAAGAATTATGAATCTTGTTCATCTGGAACTTAGCACTCTGAAAAAATGAGCTACTTCTGGGGGTTCTGAGGTCTTGTTACTGAAAATGTCTGCTCTGAGACCAAATACCCACACGCTGCATCTCTGGTTGTATCCTGGCAACAGGAGTAGGGGATGGGGAAGGTAACCTGGAAGATCCCAGTGTTTTTCTTGTGCATGATACGACTGGCCCTTGCAGAGAAGAGTGTACTTTAAAGGGAACCGAAAGAGCAGGCAGACAGTGAAAGGAGAAAATATAGACTGAAACAGCTGCAAGGCAGCTGTGCTTCAGCCCATGAAGAAATGGGCTGTCTTTATAGAGAACTATAAAGCAGTTCAAAGGGCAGCTAATTATTCTGTCTTCTATTGCCTGACTCTACCATAAAGGGGGGACTGGGATGCTGGTGTATTCTAGCTTTCTGTTTTGCTTTATTTTTTTAATTTAGTTTTATTGGTAAATTTTTGATACACATAATGACCACATTCATCATAGGGAATTTGTATCTGTACATAATTTATCTCGATATTTTTCCTTCCACTCCTCTCTCCTTCCTTCATCCCTTCTTTCCCTCCTTTAAAAAATATGTATATGGGGCCGGGGAGATGGCTCAGTAGAGTAAGCGCTTCCCTGGCAAGTGCAAGGGTCTGAGTTCAATCCCCGGTTCTGCCTCCCTCAAAAAAATAATAATAAAAAAATAAAAAATATGTATATATTTATAATTTTTCCCTTTTGTGGACCCAGGGCCTCATTACTAACATAGTTCAAACTGTCCTTGCATTATGTAGCTCAGGT